AACTGCTAGGTTGGCAGGAGCTAGGACTGAGCAACAGGAGCTCACCCCATCATGGGGATTTGAACCGCCGACCTTCTGATTGACAAGTCCTAGGCTCTGTGGTTTAACCCACAGCGCCACCCGCGTCCCTAGTTGTAGCTGTTAATAGGTGTGTAGAAGAAGAAATGTCAGCAGCTGTGGCTTGTCATATAAGCTTCACCAGCTGAAAACAATACCCCTCTGCCAAACAACTATTAAAGGTACAGGAGTCCCCCTTTCCATCTGGCTACCCTGGGATGGGGGGGGTACGGGGTGGGCAGGGAAGCTAGATTTGCTGTATTGAAGTCTAAAACAGGCTTCCTCAACCTTGACCCTCTGGATGTTTTGAAACTACAGTTCCCATCATCCCTGACCACTGGTCCTGCTAGCTAGGGATCATGGGAGTTGTAGGTCAAAAAACATCTGGAGGGCCAAGGTTGAGGAAGCCTGGTTTAAAGGCAAAGGAAAGTCCAAACAAAATATATACTTAAATCTATTACTCTACTAGGTTGACCATGACTAAGCCTGCAGACCTTACTCCACATACTCAGGAGTAGTTCCCAGTGAATTCAGTAGAACTTGGTTCTAAGTAGGCATGGCTAGGCTTGCAACCTTAAGCAGAATTTGATCCCAGGCAAGACACTTTTCTTTTCATTCTTACAAGAGGTAAAAAGAAGAAGAACTTGATGGGATATTATCTCTCAATAAACTTGTTTTGGGTTAGAGTACAATCCTATAATCATTTAGTCATTAAAATATCTAACCTAGAATCATAGAGTTGGAATAGACCACAAGGGCCTTCGAGTCCAACCCCCTGCCAAGCAGGAAACACCATCAGAGCACTCCTGACATATGGTTGTCAAGCCTCTGCTTAAAGACCTCCAAAGAAGGAGACTCCACCACACTTCTTGGCAGCAAATTCCACTGTCGAACAGCTCTTACTGTCAGGAAGTTCTTCCGAATGTTTAGGTGGAATCTTCTTTCTTGTAGTTTGGATCCATTGCTCCGTGTCCGCTTCTCTGGAGCAGCAGAAAACAACCTTTCTCCCTCCTCTATATGACATCCTTTTATATATTTGAACATGGCTATCGTATCATCCCTTAACCTCCTCTTCTCCAGGCTAAACATGCCCAGCTCCCTTAGCCGTTCCTCATAAGGCATCGTTTCCAGACCTTTGACCATTTTGGTTGCCCTCCTCTGGACACATCCCAGTTTGTCAGTGTCCTTCTTGAACTGTGGTGCCCAGAACTGGACACAGTACTCCAGGTGAGGTCTGACCAGAGCAGAATACAGTGGCACTATTACTTCCCTTGATCTAGATGCGATACTCCTATTGATGCAGCCCAGAATTGCATTGGCTTTTTTAGCTGCCGCGTCACACTGTTGGCTCATGTCAAGTTTGTGGTCAACCAAGACTCCTAGATCCTTTTCACATGTACTGCTCTCAAGCCAGGTGTCCCCCCATCTTGTATTTGTGCCTCTCATTTTTTTTGCCCAAGTGCAATACTTTACATTTCTCCCTGTTAAAGTTCATCTTGTTTGTTTTGGACCAGTTCTCTAATCTGTCATGGTCGTTTTGAAGTGTGATCCTGTCCTCTGGGGTGTTAGCCACCCCTCCCAGTTTGGTGTCATCTGCAAATTTGATCAGGATGCCCTTGAGTCCATCATCCAAGTCGTTGATAAAGATGTTGAATAAGACTGGGCCCAAGACAGAACCCTGTGGCACCCCACTAGTCACTCTTCTCCACGATGAAGAGGAACCCTTGATGAGCACCCTTTGGGTTCCGTCAGTCAGCCAGTTACAAATCCACTGAGTGGTAGCATAGTCAAGACCGCATTTTACCAGCTTCTTTACAAGAATATCATGCTGACTATTGGTGATCACAGCATTCCTTTCTAGGTGCTCACAGACTGTTTGCTTAATGATCTGCTCCAGAATCTTCCCTGGTGTTGATGTCAGACTGACTGGGCGGTAATTATTTGGGTCCTCTCTTTTCCCCTTTTTGAAAATAGGGACAACATTTGCCCTCCTCCAATCTGCCGGGACTTCGCCTGTTCTCCAGGAATTCTCAAAGATGACTGCCAGTGGTTCTGAGATCACATCTGCCAGTTCTTTTAATACTCTTGGATGCAGTTCATCTGGCCCTGGAGACTTGAATACATCTAAACTAGCCAAGTATTCTTGTACTATCTCCTTAATTATTCTGGGCTGTGCTTCCTTTGCTGAATCATTTGCTCCAAATTCTTCAGGTTGGGCATTGTTTTCTTTATCGGAGAAGACTGAGGCATAGAAGGCATTGAGGAGTTCAGCCCTTTCTGTGTCCCCTGTTTGCATTTCACCATCTTCTCCTCTGAGTGACCCCACTGTTTCTTTGTTCTTCCTTTTGCTACGGACATACCCATAAAAGCCTTTTTTGTTGCTTTTAACCTCTCTAGCAAGCCTGAGTTCATTCTGTGCTTTAGCTTTTCTGACTTTGTGTCTACACGTGCTGGCTATTTGTTTGAATTCCTCTTTGGTGGTTTCCCCCCTTTTCCATTTTTTGTACACATCCTTTTTTAATCTTAACTCAGTTAAAAGTTCTTTAGATAGCCACCCCGGCTTCTTTAGGCACCTTCCATGTTTCCATCTCATTGGTATTGCCTGACGTTGTGCTTTTACTATCTCCCTCTTAACAAACTCCCAGCCATCATGAACTCCCTTTCTTTTTAGTCTTACTGTCCATGGGATCTCACCCAGCACTTCCCTAAGTTTTATGAAGTCGGCTTTCTTAAAGTCAAGAAATTGAGTCCTAGTATGCTTGGCTGCTCCTTTCCGCTGTATAGTAAACTTCAGAAGAGCATGATCACTCGCGCCTAATGATCCTTCCACTTCTACCCCACTAACCAGGTCGTCAACATTGGTTAGGACCAGATCTAAAATGGCTGTTCCTCTTGTTGCTTCTCCCACTTTCTGGACAATGAAGTTGTCTGCAAGGCCAGTGAGGAATCTGTTTGACCTTATGCTCTTGGCTGAGTTTGACATCCAACAAATATCCGGGTAATTGAAGTCCCCCATTACTACTATCTCCCTTCCTTTTGCATGCTTGGCCATCTGTTCCAGGAAGGCATCATCTATGTCCTCCGTTTGGCTTGGGGATCTATAGTAAACTCCCACAATGAGGTCTCTGTTATTCTTCTCTCCCTTAATTTTGACCCAAATGCTCTCACTTTGGCTTTGAGGTTCTAAATCTTGGATTTCTTCACAGGTATACACATCCCTGACATATAACACCACTCCTCCTCCTTTCTTGTCTGGTCTGTTTCTCTGAAATAGATTGTATCCCTCCATTATTACATTCCAATCGTGGGACTTATCCCACCAGGTTTCAGTGATGCCTATTATGTCATATTTAGTTTGCTGTACCAAGAGCTCAAGCTCATCTTGTTTATTTCCCATGCTTTGCACATTCGTGTACAGACATTGAAGTCCATTAATCATTCCCCCGTGTCTCTTATTTAAGGATTTTTTCCTCCCACCACTAGGTCTGCGTGCTGTTTGCTCCATTTGGTCTATGACATTTGGATGATCATCTTCATCAATTGATAGACTCCTACCTTCAGGAGCACTGTTTCCCTCCCCCACATTAGTCAGTTTAAAGCCCTCCTGATGAGGTTTCTGAGATTTTTGGCAAAAACATTCCTCCCAACCGTTGTGAGGTGCAGCCCATCACTTGCCAGAAGTCCATCTTCAAGAAACTGCAGTCCGTGATCTAAGAATCCAAACCGTTCCTGTTTACACCATTTGCAAAGCCAGCTGTTCACTTCCACTATTTTTCCCTCTCTCCCTGGGCCACTTCGTTCAACTGGGAGGACAGATGAGATGACAATTTGTGCATTTAATTAAACCTAGTTTATTTAAATCTAGTTTATTTTATTTAGAAGAATATTTTAAAAACCCCACCAACTCATAAAAAATATGAGTTATTGTTGTGTACAATAAAATCATTAAAACCTACTAACTATAAGATGATAAAAACATTTATTTTGCTTTTCTAGGGGCCCTGGAGAGAGAGTTTAGTTTGGATGCAAAACTTACTTGGGAGTAAATGCCACCAAACTCAGAGAGAGTCTCTCTTCTGAGTAAACATGCATAATACATCCAGTCTATTAAATTTTCATGCAACCTGATCTTATCCATGTTTACTTCAATGGGCTCCTCTTCAAGCAAGTGTGCAAAGCGTTGTTGTTTTTTATTTTATTTTAAAAAGGAAACCAAACCACAGCACAACCCTACAGAGGTGCAATCACAATGGTCATTGGTTTGAAAAGGCACCACTTCCAAGCAGGTGTGCATAGCATTGCAGCTCACATGTCTACTCAGAAGCAAGTGCCATTGAATTCAACGGGCACCACTCGCGCGCACAGGATAGCAGCAGCCTCAAGGTCCCGTTTCCGCACCTCCCTATAGGAGACAAATGCAGGCCGAGCTATCGCTGGGTAAAGCAACCCAGTACTGCTTAACGGGCTACGGGCTCGATTAATGCAGCGCACGCTTACTTCGGAGCAAGCCCTGCCTGAACTCCGCGGGCCCTACTTCCGAGTAAACCTCTTGCAGCCGCGGGGCCCGATCGTCGGCAAAAACACAACCGTGCAAGAACCTCGAGGAAGCGCGCCTTCGAATGATGCCCCTTGCAACCCCGCAGGCGCTTCCTCGGGAGTAAGACCCGCGGAACTTCCTTCTGCCTGCGCCAGCGGGAGAGTTGGAGCTGGGGCAAGTCCTTACTAAGTGGATCCTGGGAATCAGCACCCAACCTCTGCTGACTCCCGAGTAAGCCCGTCCCGGAGAGCGCAGGATTCCCTCCCGAGCCTTTTTTTGTGTGTGTGCGCGCGCTGGGCTGTCCAGCCGGCAAGCGCGCGCGCTCCCCTTCTGGCTGTTGCTGCTGCAGCCGTGGCTGCTCCTTTAAGGGCGCCCGCCTGCCCCTCCGCGCCGTATGGGCCGGGCTTGGAGGCGGGGACTCGCTCGAGCAGCACCGAGAGCGCTTCACCTGCAGTTCAGAGCGGCGGCGAGGAATTGAGCGCGGCAAGGCAGGCGGAGGAAGAGGAGAAGAAGCAGCGGCGGCGACGGCGGCTGCGAAGAGTTGGCGGCTCGGAGGCGCCGCGGGATAACCAGGCAGCGCCGGGCGGAGCAGGCAGGTCGCGCGCTGGGGGTTGCCCTGCCCGGGCTGAGCGCGGTGGAAGCGGCGGCAGGAGGCGGCGGACGAGCCCGGCTCGGGATCCGCGGAGATGCCCGTGGGCTCGAGGATGCTACTTCTCTTGTTCTTTTGCTGCGGGGGCTCGGCCCGGGTAAGTTGCAGCAGCAGCAGCAGCAGCAGCTCCCGCTTGGAGAGGGATGGGGCGCTGCCGGAGGGAGACGACGACGAGGAGGAGGAGTGGGGGGTGGAAAGGGGACCGTGCTGGGTTCCGGGGCTTGGAAGCTCGCCTGGAAGGAGCCACGAGAGTACCGCTTTCCTTGCAATTCCTCTCTCTTTCCGCACATCATTAACTGCACGCTTGGAGATGGCTGGGTTATAGCTCTGCTTATGTATGTGTGTTTGTTGGGGAAAGGGGTTCCCCTTTATTTCTGCATGCGGCTTGAGCGCCCCCCCTTCTCCAGATGCCTTGTGCAATAGAGGTTTCTCGTGAATGTGTGTGTGTAGCGGGGGGGGGGGCAGAGGAAGAGCTCCTGCAAAAGCTCCACCGTACAGCACTTCCACACACACACACACCCCACCGCCCCGCCGGCTAAGCGCTCTCCCTTTTCCTTTTTTTGTTTTTTTGCAGAGTATGTGCAACAATGTTAGCCTGTGTGTGTCTCCCCGCTGAGCCCCCCTCCCTCCCTTTCTCCACTCTATCAATTCATAGACAACTGGCAGACGAAAATCCAGAGGAGGAGGAGGAGGAGGAAGGATTGAGCAAAGGAGGGGGGCGGCGGCGGTAGTGCTAGGGAAAGCTGGATGGTCGTTTTGCTAAATGCAAAGCGACTTAACGGGCGGAAATGTGTCTCTTTGCCGTAGCCGGGAATAGAGACCTGGGCTGGTAGACAACCGCGCGGATAGAGCATCCCAAGTTGTTTTTAGCTGGCGATGAGATCCAAACGGGGGAAAAAGAAAGAAAGCCAGCACAACTGGAAGGAGCATATAATTATATCTGCATATTAGAGATCGGTTATTATTTTTTAAAAAGCTTTGCTTTGTTAGGATCCTCCCAGAACTTCAGAATGCATCTTGCCCTCGTGTGCTTAACCCACGTGGCGTGGCTGAAGTCTTGGGTGTTGCGGTTTATCAACAGACGCTATAGAGAGAACTGGAGCACTCGGAGGACCCAGGCAAATCGAGACCGGCTTAAGGGTGGTTGTGTGGGTGTGGGACTCTTGAGCCTTTTTAATAGCATTTTTTAAAGAGCAGAAATTGTGCATCTTTCAACCCGACACACCCATGGCTGAGGCTAATACGGATCTGTGCAGGGAGTCCTGCTATGCACCTGATAAAACTACTCATAACATAAAAATTGGGAAGTCCCCCCCTTTCCCCCAAAATAGGTATTCCCTAGAGAAACTTGCTTTAATAGCTTTTAGGGGAATAATAGGCTTTTACTTGACTGCAAATGTGTATTAACGCAGCTCAGAATCTGGGTTGGCAGCTCTAACTTGCTTCCAAATATCCTGGTGTGCTGTATGTATTTTAAGGGAATATTTACCATGCCGTCTGCCACGGAGCCTTTTAAAACAAAAGGATAGGGATGCATAATGCTGAAATACTTTTTTTGTGGGAGGGATATTAGGTGCCATGCTCCCTTTCTGCTTTTTGATTATTCCTATATTTTGTCTCTTTCTAAATTTTAAGATGATTTCAGAAGGACACCCACGGCTGCCAAATCAGCCTGATTCTCAAAACCATTTTTGAGTTAAAATTGATCAGATTGCAATTTCTCTTCCTTTCCAGGCTGATATGGAAAGCCCTCTAGAGTCTTATTATCATTAAGCACGTTTCCAGTACTGGAGATCTGACTGACAATGGACACGATCTGTTGGGAAGTTCTCCTGCATAAATCTGCCTACAGCAGTGTGCCATTCATTGCTTGGACAGGAGAGCTTCCTGGCAAATGGCACCCCAATAATGGCTCTTGTTTGGGACCTCCTTTCCCTAGACAAATTGAGGCACTTTATTTGTAAGCCTGGAGAGAGAGAGAGAGAGAGAACTTGATTGGGGGTGGGGAGAGAGAATAGTGTCCTAATTAAAAACCCATCAAGGGAAAGCCGCTTTGTAAGGCTTGGCTGTGTAACCCTACCACCGACTCTCTGCTGCAGTGGCCCCACTGCTAGGGCCATTGTAATAAGTGGGTGATTGGAAATCCAAAGCCTATTATCTACTGTCAGACTCTGAAATGCTTCTGAATTGCAGATCTTGCCAGGAGACTGACGGAGTGCACAGCCGAGTCCCTCTCATGCACTTTCCAGAGACGGTAGCTGGCATTTCTCTCCCAAGCGTGATTTCTCGCCGATATTACATTGGCTTACTTTTTGCTTAGTAAGCTCCTCTGCAAGCCAGGAGACAGACTCTCTGTTCTCTTCGCCCCTTCTCTCCCTCTCTCATCCACATGCCATGTCCACCGTTATTTAAAAAGCCACCTTGGCTGAGCCTGCTTCTTTCTGCTACATATTAAGTCCTCAAAGCGCCTAATTTTTCCAGTGATCATGGGGTTGGCCTGGCTTGCTCCCCCCCCCACTCTCTATAGGGTTTAGGCCACTTGGTTTTGTCATCAGCATGTACCTTTAATCTGTTTGGGAGAGTCCTTAGAAAAATCTTGCCTGGGGTAGTAGAAAAACAGGGGTGACACCCCACCACCTTCCCAACCTCATTTGCTATATAGGAATTTGTTTGCAAATCACCAGCTAACAAGCCATTCAGCTTCTGTGCCTGCATGTTGGCTGGAGTCTGATTGAGCACATAGATCTGGAAAGCCAAGGCACAAGGAAAATTGATTCTCCCCTCCAAGGCTTGGGCTTGAAACTAGCCTTTTTCTACGACGATTCGCTCCAGTGTGCAGCTGGAAACAAATCTCTGTCCCTAAAGGGAGGAAGTTACATGGCATAAGCTATGGATGTAGCATGCAGGTTAGGGTGTCTAGGTGATGCTCCTAAATTGCCTCGCGGGGGTGGTCAGGGACAGGCAGAGGGACTGTGCGTATTTCTGTTTCTCTGGGTTACCCTGTGAACCTTTCAGGATTTTGCTTTGCGTTCCAGCTAGGGATGCTTGCATGTGTACACTCGCTTCCTCCCTCTCCCTCCGCCTGCCTGCCAGGTGGTGATTGCTCAGCAGTTCTGCATTGATTTGTTAAGGGAGGTACAGGCTGGGTATATATGCAGACTTAACAGCATCCTGCTGTAGCTTTAACAGTAACTCTCCAGATCTCGATTGTCCAATGACTAGGGCCAAAGATGGTGATCAGATGGGTTTCTTAAACCTGGGGGGGGGGTGCTTCTGGCATGCGAGTCCTCAGGCTTGCCAGCCACGGCTTGATTTGTATTGATCTGAGATGTGAGGGTGCCTGTAATCCAACTGGGGAGATTTATTGCTGTGTGCATCACTCAAGCCTCCACCATTCCCAGCAACCTTGCTGAATAATATCCCCCCCCCCAAGTCATCTCTCCAGCATAAGGCTACTGCTATTTTCTGACTGGTGTTTCATTTTCCCCACCCGGCTTGAAACATGTTATCAGTGTAAGACTTGATGAACGCTGTTTCTGTTGCTCAGACTTGCCTGTTTGCAGACACTTGCGCACGGGCTGTGAAACCTCCCCCCCCCAACCCTGGAGATTCCCACTAGAAACAACAATACAATTCACAGTGTTCTGTTGCTCTTGTTTTGGACTCTGCAGGCGCCCAATGGGGATCTTACAGTCAGACCCACTTGCAAGCCAGGCTTCTCGGAAGATGATTACACAGCGCTGGTTTCCCAAAACATCATGGAAGGGCAGAAGTTACTCAAAGGTAGGAAGTATAAACTGGGAATGCAGTGGGATAGGTTAAGGAACACTTGTCCCAGTGGAGAGGAAACAGCTGACAGATGTGAAAAGCAGGGACCCCAGACTCAAATGTTTCATCAGCAAAATGAATGGTGAATTGTGGACTTGTGCATTGGTGAGACGAAGACCACATTCTTCTGTTGCATATTGTGTGGCTTGAGTGAAAGGATGTCAGAGTAGTGTGGCACACCAGCCCTTACTTCATGGATTTGGTTTGTTTTTTAACCTCTACCTGCTGTTGGCAGAAGTATCTGTACCTGTGTCATATTTTTTTAAAAATATTGTGGGTGTGCACACCTCTGTACAGAGCATCCTTGCATTTGAGATGTGAAGATCCTTAAACCATCCTTTGCTTGCAATGCTTGATAAAGCAGACATTGTTGTTGGATTATGTGGTGAACAAGCCCACAGACATTCTGTTCTCAAATGTGGCATTCATGTTCATTACTGTCCCACTGACAACATGAAAACACAGCCAGTGAGAAAGTACCAATTAGCTTTACAGTAATTGCAGGATTACAACTGGTGTGTGTGTGTGTGTGTGTGTGACTAGAAACTCTTAAAACAGCTTCATAATCTGAAGGAAAATAGCTTATTTGTGAGCATTGTTCCTTTTCCTTTTTGTCCCCTTCCCCTGCCTCTGCCTTTTAAAGTTATTACAATAATTAAACTTTCCTATTTGTGTGGCACAGGAAATGTAGCCTTTAGTTGAGTCCTGTGAGAATCTTAAAAGCCAAACTGGAACACTTCTCTGTACTCCGCTTCCTAATTGCTAATAGGCGCTGTAGATGTCACGCTGCTGCTTCTGCAGTGCCAATCTGATATGGCAGGGAGATGTTGCTGAAGGAAGAGAAGTGAGTTTTGGAGTAAGCAAGAGATGGCAAACACTTTAGCAAAGGAGGCCAACGAAGCTCAATTTGCGATGGGCTGTTTTTGTTTCCTTGAGGGTCTGTTGTAATGAGACAGCAAAATGGCACACTGAAACCCAAGAACGTTGTCCTGAATGGTTTCTTTCTGCTTCCAAACCCTTTTATTTTCTGCAAAGATTTCATTCCTCCTGTCTTTCCTGTCCAGAAAGAGGAGAATGATTATGGTTGTACAGTGTTACATTCATTGCTTTGTGTGTGTGTGTGTGTGTGTGTGTGTGTGTGTGTTGCTCTAGAAACTGGCATGTAAGAGGACTGTCTGGTAAGTCATGAGTCATTTTTTAAAAATCCTATCTCATAGGAGTAATTATATTCTGAGAAATATAAATAATATCGTGAGGAAACATCCTATGTGAACCTGAGAAAACAGCTCAAAATCTTAGGTATGTGCAATTTTATTTAAGGACCTGGCTAGGGACCTGGAAGTTTCTCCAGGCTAGGATTACTGAGATGCCGTATGCTAACAAGTGCAGCTATACATTGCAAAATACTTTCTGGTTTTTTTTATTTCTACCACTTTAATTATTAAACGTAGCAGTTTATACTGAGTTGATTATTTTGGGGTATTTCCCCCTCCCCAAATATCCTGCCACCACTTATTTTAACTATTACATTTATATCCCACACATAGCTGTCAACATTTCCCTTTTTAAAAGGGAAATTCCCTTATTCCGAATAGGATTCCTCTCAAGAAAAGGGAAAAGTTGACAGCTGTGATCCCACATTTCCTCCAAGGGGTTTAAAGTGACATGGTTCCCTCTCTTCTCATTTTACAACCCCCCTATGAGGTTGGCTAGGCTTGGGAGATGGTGCGTTGCTGAAACCTCCTTGATCCATTGTTTCCTTGAGTAGCTAGTATCTAGCTGCTGCTGCTGCTCCCTCCCCAATTCTCTGTCTCCTGGCTACTCTTTTTCTCCTGCTTCCCGACTAGTCGGGTACCATTACTGGGATGGGATGATGTCACGATGATGCATAGCTGCATAGCCAATCAAATCTGATGCCACTGAGGGCAAGCAAAGTTGGCTGGAGAGCAAGGGAGGGCCACATGAGCGGACAACCACTTTTGCCAGAAGCATCCCCCCAGTCCACACAATTCCTGTGTGACTTGACACTGGCAGAAAGGGGCGAGTCAGTGTTTTGCCGGTTATGTGGACAATAAGCAGTCTAAAGTTCAGTACAGTGGTACCTCGCAAGACGAATGCCTCGCAAGACGAAAGGGTTTTTGGTTTTTTGAGTTGCTTCGTAAGACGAATTTCCCTATGGGCTTGCTTCGCAAGACGAAAACGTCTTGCAAGTTTGTTTCCTTTTTCTTAAAACCGTTAATACAGTTGCGACTTGACTTCGAGGATCAACTCATAGCATGCAGTGTGGTAGCCTTTTTTGAGGTTTTTGAAGACTTTGGTGATTTTTGAAGCTTTTCCAAAACTTTTCCGAAACCGTGCTCCGCAAGACGAAAAAATCGCAAGACGAAAAAACTCGCGGAACGAATTAATTTCGTCTTGCGAGGCACCACTGTATTTCCTCAAGTGTTGGATTCATAACCCTACTGGGAGCTCAGAAAGGAATGGAGGAAGGCCATGGGCTGTGAAAGGCTTCATTTCCTCAGGCTGGAGGTGAAGTGGGAGAGGAATATGGGCCTTCCTCCAAGAATACAGCAGATGTTGGCTGCACAATGCATCTGCTGCTGACTCCTTTAGAAAGGTATATGAGTTCTGAACTTCTTTATTGCTTGACCATAATTTGCAGCTGAGTGTGCACCTTTGCCACTTCAGTCTTATAACCCTTTTATTACACCCTGGGCTTTCAATCCGTTTTGTGCCTTTGCCTTACGTTCAGAAGTCCATTTTAATTTGTTCCCCTCTCTGAACTTGGAATTAATGAACAAAGTTTGAGCTGTTTCGGATTTAACTGACTCGATCCAAGCACTCCGGAGGATGAATTAATGCTGGGTTTGTACGATCCGAGGCAGCAGCAGAAGGGAGCTTCTCAGTTGGCCTGGTGGCTATTCCAGTGTGGTGTAGTGGTTAAGAGCGGTAGACACGTAATCTGGGGAACCGGGTTCGCGTCTCCGCTCCTCCACATGCAGCTGCTGGGTGACCTTGGGCCAGTCACACTTCTCTGAAGTCTCTCAGCCTCACTCACCTCACGGAGTGTTTGTTGTGGGGGAGGAAGGGAAAGAAGATTGTTAGCCACTTTGAGACTCCTTCGGGTAGTGATAAAGCGGGATATCAAATCCAAACTCCTCTTCTTCTTCTCTTCTTCTTCCAGTCGTCCACCACCTGCCTGCAGGTTGATCATTGACTGACTGACAACATGAAGGGTGTGTGGGGAGGGAATAACACATGAAGCTGTCATATACTGACTTAGGCTATGGTTATTGCCATGTCTGCTTAGGTGTCCAATTGGATTCAGTGGGGCTTACTTCCAGGAGATAGCTCAGTTGGTAGAGCAGGAGACTTTTAATCTCAGGGTTAACAGTTTGAGCCCCACCTTGAGCAAAAGATTCCTGCATTGCAGCGAGTTACTAGATGACCCCCTTGTCCCTTCCATCTCCACAATTCTATAATTGTAAAGTGAGATGGGGACTGTAAGCTTAGATGATTAGCCTCTCTAGCTCAGGAATAGGGATTCTGTAGCTCACCAGAAGTTGGTGGATTCCATCCGCCCTTAGCCCCAGGCAGCATAGCCATTGATGAAGGGAGTTCTAAGTCAAATATCTAGATAGCCACAGGTTCTCCATCCCTGATCTAGCCCACTCTCAGGCCAGGGTCTTATTCTGCTCTCTTTAAACGGAGACTAGTCTGGATTTGGGTCTGTCTGTATGCAAAGCACTTGCTACACCATTGAGCTAAATCTTCCAAATCGTAAAGTGTTCCTTGCTCAGTTCAGGTGAAGTGGGTCTTCTTTGCAGCAGGTAACCAGACAAGTGGCTTCGCACATACTTTGAGTTAACATTGTATCCATGATCCAATGGGATCATTGTGGTTTGTATGCATTTGCTCCCAGGCTGCTTCTTCCCCTTGTTTTGCTATCTTTCTCTGACTGACAGTGTTTTTCCTAATGTTTATCTTGCCTCTTCATCTTTGCAGACAATGTAATTGGCCTGTTCTTTTGGAAGGGGATTTATGACAATTGGGTGTTTGATGCATTGTGTTGTGTTGTTGCTGGCTGGACAATAGAGATGGAACAGAAGGTCTGGGGAAGGCAGTTCAAAGGCAGTGCCAGCTGAGGCTGCAGAGAAGCTGCCATGTAATTATAACATCAGCTGATTGTGATCTTTAAATAAATAGAAAATTATATCACAATAAGCCATTTAAGCACTTCCTGTGAATGAGCAATTTCCACCAATGATTGTTTCTCCTGATCATGTTGAAACTCCCTTGAGTTGATGCTGGGAGTAGATTATGAGTCTTCAGAGGGTCTGTTTCCAGAGCAGCAACCATGCTAGTCTGCTGCGACAAAATCGACCCTCTTGTGGTATCCTAAACTTTCATGAACTTACTTCATCAGATGCTGAGGATCTTGTGCATGTCTCTATGGTATTATTGGGCAGGGCTTTTACTTTCATGGGCATTTCCCACTCTGAGTTTTTGCCCCAGGATGCTTAGTGGGATATGTTAAATGTATTCAAATTTCATTCAGCCAATGAAAAGTTCCAGTGATTTCTGTCTGAATTCATATCAAGAGAAGTGGTTTCTGGGGAGATTTATTTTTAAAGGGGATTTTTTATTTTTTATTTTGGCAGAGGGCAAGCTAGCTATTTATTACAAAAAAATCTTCTTGCTGGCATCCCAAGGAAGAAACCAAAAATCATAGAAATACTTGAAACAACCAAGCAAGCAGAAAAAACCAACTAGCATCTTTTTTTGAAAAACAAGCAAACATTGGAAAACATGCTTTAACTTTGTGCCTAAGCAAAAGCAAGCAGAGAGGGTCTTTGTGGGTCTCTTTCAGGATGTTTTTCAAACACTGTTGTGCCACTTAACTGCTCCAGCTCTCTTGTAGCCTGATTTCAGAGAAGGCGTTTTGTGACACTAGA